AATAATCTGTTTCAGATTTCTGAAAATTGCGTAATTCGTTGACTAACTTGTATTGTAATTCGAATTCAAGAAATTCCAAACTTGCGATACAAAATAGTCGTTCTCCATATCCATTTCTTGCGGCAAGGAAGCATCTTTTTATAAAAATTGAAATTTCTTCTTCAGTTGTTGTATTTCTACATATTAGCAATTGCCATGACTTGGGGTAGAATTTGTGATTTGCATATAGAGACATGATAATGTTTGGTACACGACTATTATCTGCGCACGCAGCGACAAATAATTTGCCTTGATAAACTACATCCGAGGCAATTGGTTCGAGTTTGGCCTTGATTGGCTTGGGATATTCAAATCTTAGCGTAATCATTTCATGCAATTTTTGACCTATCTGACAGAGAACTTCATAGTAATTCATCTTGTTCATATCGACAATTATATCACCCCTATTTGGTAGTAACTTTGCTTGTTTGTTTACAAGTCGCAGCAATAACTCGCATGTCTCGCGGGTTTTAGGATTAACATGTCCTTTGCAGCTGAAATAATCATAAAATATTAAAATATTCCTAGCAGTATAGAAAGTTAAATAATAATGTTCCTCATGTGCTCGTTGCATAATATCCTCCCTAATGCAATTTAAGTAAAAAAAAAGTAATTGTTGTTTATTTATTGATTTATTGTTAAAATTTAACAGTCGTAGAACATGTCCTAATGGTTGCTATTATTGTTCAAATGTGTTGACGTACTAAATTTTATATGTAAATTTATGCAAAAAAATCACTAAAATTTAATTTATATATTGTTTTGCATAAATTTACATATAAAATTTAGTGTCAACTCATTTGATTTACATGCCTTGGGACTGTTAAAATAAACTTTATAAAATAAGTTCACAACATACCATGATTGCAGATCTTTCTTAAGCTTTTCAAGTTGCACCGTCATAAACTTTGCGGAATTTGCAGACATATTCCATTCTCTATAAGCAAAGTGACCCAATTCCATTAATTTAGAAGCATATTTTACAATCTGATGTACCGTATCTACTTGATTTACAAATTCCATAAGTTCTTTGGTTCCTTGTTCTAGGTTATTCTCATCTTCAACTGGCAGATGTAAGACAAAAGCTGATGCTGCTTGTTTTGCGATCAAAAGGGCTTGTCCTTGTAGATCTTGTAGACCCAAAAGATCGTAAGAATTTATTTTTCCGGACTTATCTTTGCAAACCAAATTTACTGTGCATCTACCATGGTTTTCGTCACGGTAGAATTTATATGAACCTTTCGTAGCAGCATCTCTGATACGCTCTTTAGTTGCTTCTCCTCTATTCACAATGCTAAAGTATATATTTTGAAGGGCAAGACTACTTGAACAACAGTGTTTAATTTTTTCATGCAAAGATTCATTTTTCGAGATTATTTTATGAACATTATCCAAGAATTTAGTAATGATCGTAAGTGTCGATTGTCCTTCCTTAGAAAGTTTTACCATATCATTCATGAGAGGTACCAAGAATTGTTTAACTTCTATCAATGAAGCGACAGTTTCTTCATGAATTTCACGTTTATCATCAACTCCATTGATTAAATTTCTTAGATCTCCTTCAGCAATTATCTGAAGCCAGGAAATAAAATCGCCGGCATAAGATAATGCACCAATCATCGCCCAACAATTGTCATCGAAATCATCAAGATGCGCATCTACTTTATCAGAGACATTTTTTAAATCTAAAAGCATTAAAGGTTCTTTGAGTAACCGATTATGCGTATCGACCACCCAGCTTTCTACTATGTTCTGTACTTTAAAAGCGCCCAAAGTTCTTTCTAAATCTTCAAGTCTTTCTCTCCACGACTTAATATGAATAAGATAACTTATTGCCTTTCTCAAGTCATTTTTTGGCTTCCATGTCATGCCTCGTGACATTAATTCAAGTTCATGATCTATATTTTTGACATCTTTCCAAAACATGCTAATATTTGAATATTCAAGTGTGGTCCAGTTATTAAATTCTGATCTTAAACGATCATAATCAGACAAAGCCATAGATATATATTTTGTGGCAACCAACTCGACTGTTAAGGTCATTTCATTTGTTTCTAAACATTTTTCAAAAACATTTTTGAATGTTTGAGATTTTCTATAGATATATGAACGTTGTCCTGCTTCAATATTCGGTTGATGATATTCCCAGAAAACTTTTTGTAATGTGTCTTCAAGGGTAATAGTTCCTTGCAATTTTATTTTTGCTGTTATATCAGAAATGTAATCCTGCTTATTTATAGTTTTCATACAAAACTGTTTGTAAAAAATGTCAAGCTTAATCAACTTGTTTATATATGATTCAAAAGTACTTCGAAGGTATTGAAGATTTGTCTCATTAATATTAAATTGCGTTGATTCATCGATCGTAGAGAAATAATCTAACAAATTATTGTCATCATAATCAAGGATATTTTTTAGCATTTTCATTTCTATAGACTTATCCAGAAGTTTCCCGGCTAATTGAATGATAGCTTGACGGGTTGTTCTCACGTATGCATGTTGACTAATTGATTCAATCGAACCAATGGCCTTTAAAATATAGACCCAAAATTTTGAGGAAGCGAGTAATGTTTTATGAAAATTATCATTAATAACTATTTCATCATCATCTATAACGATATTCGGTATATTTTCTTGTAGTTTTGTTAATATGTGAAGAATGATATCTTCACAGAGCCTATTTAAAAGCTACAAGTCAGATGTTATAATAAAACTAAAAAAGCACAAATAAAAATTCCACTTACGTGTTTGGAATATGTAATTGTTGTCTTTCTGATTTGCAAATTTTTATTATCTTGCCTAATAATTGGTCATCGCTACATTTAACATTTGAACTGAATCTCCTTTTTAATATATGACTAAATACCTCGACAAGTTCTGGTTGTTTAAAATCTCCTATATAAAAAGTGGCATCAAAGATAACGTCGTCCGAAAGGCGATCCACTATTCCTTCAGCAGTTTTAAATAGCTGAACGTGTGCAATATTGTGTTTAACCATAATTTGATACATTAATGAGAGATGACTAAAAGTTGTGCATGCAAAGTTTTCTTCAGTAAGCTTGGATATGTTAGATGTCTTGGATGTTTTGGATGCATTTTGTGCTTTATTGATACAACTCATCATGTTCTT